ATACTAAAAACATAATTATTAACCACAGAAGTCATATTACCTTATGCACTTCTTTCAAACAGGTCTCAAAATTGTCCCAACTTGTAAATCTTCGATATAACATAATATCATTGAAGATTCGTCCTATATCATGCATCATCACGATGGCATCATCTTTGTTACTTGAAGAATGAACGTTACCAAACATGGTGTGGCTGAACTCGATTCAAATCTAAAAATGTCTCGATTTGACCGCTTCTGAAAATTTTCACGAATTGTCGATGTGACGCACAAATCATTTTGCGACAGTTTGACCTTCAAGTGCTCGCAACCCCCATCAGTGGACGATACCCTAGGAGCGTTGCCTATCAAGACTACTGTTGTCAATTTAATTGAATTTGTTTCAGTTAATGTGTCTTTGGTCTGAATCGAAATACTTTAGTTAAGGTTTGAAATCTTGCTAAGGTTTGTCTTGTGGTACCCTTTTACTGGTTGACTGACACTGTGTTCGTACTGTGAGCATATTGTGTTTTACACTATAGATCACCAACGTAGATGATCTATGTCGAAATGAGTGGAGGCCTACTCTAGTTCGACTTGAATGGTGTGACGAACCAACTAACGTCGAAGTCACACCTCGTGGTCAGCATCTTACATAGACTACTCCCATTGACGTATCAAGGTACTATAGATGCTCTGGAGACTGTACAACACAAAGGACGTTATTACAGAAATATATTATTTAAAGTAGATACAAGCGAAAGTAAGACCACTGCCGCATGGGCCAGTCCATGGCATACGATTAACTTATGCGCGTTGGTTGTACATGACCTTGGCAGGGAGCGATGATCTGTTCGACATTCAGTGTTCCAACTGCCGGATGATTTGACCAGGGCTCAGTGACATTTCACTGGCCCTACAACACCTTAATCTGGCTAAAATGGTCGATAGTACCCATAAATGTGGACAACCAAACTGTTTGCTTCCCGTGGAGGAAGGAATGCAGTGTGATGAATACAAAAAGTAGTTCCATAGGATGTGCACTCGTTTTAGTCCCATCGCATACAAAAGATGTTCGAAGCCTAACTCACATTGGCTTTGTACGTTTTGCTCTGCAAATAAGAGGTTAAAATACGGGAGGCTATGAGCCTATTGGCTTTGGCCTGTAAGAAGAACGATAGCGCATGCGCTGATAACACGAGCACTGACAGTGACGAATATATCAGTTTAGTACCCGCTTTTACGAAACGCCTTAAACAACCGACTTTGACTGACGGAAAAGTGAAATCTCCGTTAACATTAACGAGGGGAGTGGTACCACCTGACACTGACATTGGTAACCTTGCACCTCTAGTGGAAACTGAAGATCTGGATGAAACCGTCACCGCTCCAAATAGTCTCAGTGTCCTGAAGGATGAAAAATGAACTGCGGTACGGAGAAAGCGAAACGAAAAAACGCTGTGGGCAGTACGAAGGTGGTTAGCAAGTCACTGGTGGACTACCATTGTGAGTCACAAAATGCACTTCCAAAATCTGATAGCAAGAGGGAAACCCATCCCAACCTGACTGAGAAGAAGAGTCCAATCTCATCGAATATTATTGTGAGTAATTTGCTGGAGTCAAACGATCCTGATCCCAAAATTAGACACGCACATGATTTAACGAAGCTGGAAAATATGTTCGTAGCATAACTTCTTAGGAGTTCAGGTCAAAAACTGGTTAAAATATGTAAGAGGACCGAGGACAGTATTGAACCCCGACCATGTAGACTCTTTAAGTAACCCTGGGGTGTGAGAAGCAACGTGATCTTCTTTTAGGTAGCGCTCGCAGTCACGACAATTCCGACATCCGAGTATGACCCGATATGTCCCTTGAAGATAGAATAAAAAGGAAGAAGGCATTAGCTGAACTAGAAACCCGTCTGCAAAATGGTGAGAAAAATCTCCGGCTAGTAGGTTTCCGGATAGTCAAGTCTTGGAAGCGAATGCTACCAAGGCCTGTGTGGATAGGCCGTTCTACTTAAGAGTTTTATATGCCAACTCTCGTAGTCTAAGAAATAATTTCTATGAACTGGAAGAATTTATGGACAGATTAGAGGCACTCATTGTAGCAGTGACAGAAACTTGGTTAGTCCATGACTTAGACATCACTCCAGAATTATCCGGATACCATTACCTCAGGAGTGATAGACATGGGTGTAGAAAAGGAGGTGGCATCCTGTTATATATAGCCAATAATATAAATATCCGCTCCTCTGCTAGCGAATCCTATGATAACGGTACTTGTGAAATCATTAGCTGTAAATTGGCTATCGGATGTAGTACATTTATGTTAAGTGTCGTCTATCGCAGCCCAATCTGCTTAGCTGATGACTTTACTTTAGAGCACATTCATCTTTGGAGTGCAAATACCAGATGCTTGATAATAGGAGACTTTAATGCACCTGATATTAGTTGGACTGAGATGAACACGGACGGATCTATAAACTCCTTTGGTAGTAGGATCCTGGTAACAATAATGGAGCTTGCACTAGTTCAGCATGTATCCAAACCTACACGTTTTGGTGTTTACCGAGGTTCTTCTCTGTTGGAATCAGTAATCACTCATGAGAGTGAGGATATTGTCGACCTAAATATTTTTCCGTCATTAGTGAATAGCGATCACGCTGTTCTGTCACTCACGTTTAGAACTAGGGACATGATATACGATCAGCATACACCCCACCCAAATGTACGGAGAGCTAACATATCAGCCATTCAGGAATGCGCTGCGAAGACAGATTGGTTTGTAGATACTAACTCATCAGTTGAAGAAGCATGGTTTGTATTTAAAGGTAAGTTTAGTCTAGTTACGTCAACGTTCATACCATACCTGGTGCTACGAAGACCGAATAACAGTCCACCATGGGTAACTTCTTGGGAAAAGGAAGAAGCAATGGAATATGTTAATCTCTACTGGCTTAGAACAATGCAGATCCAGTTATTGTAAGATTAGGAATACCTGTAAAGCGTTATTAAGTACGACTAGATGATCATATAAAAGCAATTGGTTAGGGATTCTAGATATAGTCCGGAAGGGTTATTCTCGTGTACAAAAAGGCGAACTCAGAGAAGCAATGGAATTCCATCACTTTTGACACAAGAAAATCCGTCAATCTTGGCAGAAAATGATACCGAAAAAGCTGAAGCACTATTGGAATATTTCAGTAAAGTGTTTTCTATCGGTTATGAGGAACGACTAGCAATTCATTGTGATCGCGGCGGCAGTTGTAAAACTGATAGAAAAAATCATTCGGATATCTGTTATAAACTATGTTGAAGGACATAATCTTTTCTCCAGGGAACAACATGGTTTTCGGAGAGGCCTATCATGCTTGACAAATCTTCTCATCGCAAGAGAAGATTGAGCTGCTGCAAAAGATTAGAATATTCCTGTCGATGTGATTTTCATAGATCTAAGTTAGGCCTTCGATAAGGTTTCCCACTCTGGTTTAAAATTCAAACTGCAACGTTCTGGAATCCATTGTACAGTCGTAGATTGGATAAGCAACTATCCTGACGACAGGAGACAAAGGGTGAGGGTAAATAGGGCTCTTTCCTCGTGGGTACCTGTAAAAAGTGGAGTTCTCAAAGGTACAATCCTCAGTCCTCCTCTCTTTTTTTACGTTATGTAAATGAATTGCCGACTGTAGTAAAATCATCCGTTCTACTCTTCGTTGATGACATAAAGATTCGGAGACCCATGCACAGTATATCGGATAAAATAGTATTACAGGTTGATCTTAGCTCATTTGTGGCATGATTGGACAGATGATCACTAGAAGTAAATCCTAACAAGAGTGTAGTGATGCAAATAAATAACTATGATGTACTGTATCACCATACAATATGTGGATTCGTGCTACCCAAAGTATGAAACTATACAGATTTAGGAGTCATATTAAGCAGTGATCTCAAGACCACTAGTCACTGTAAGGCTGCTACTGCAAAAGGCTACAGGGTATCATGGTCTATTCGTAGGAATTTCCAGTATTTAGATGATGAAATGTTTAGATTATTATACCCGATTTATGCGCAATCACATTTAGCATATAGGGTTCAAGCAGCGAGTCCTTGTTTCAAGTATGAAGCAGAGATGCTGGAAAGAGTCCTACAATGAGGTACTAAGATGGTACAATGTTTATCTGACTTATCTTATGAAGACAGACTGAGACACCTTAACTTATTTCCGTTATCTTACCGTAGAGTACGAAGTGATCTAATATTAGCTTATCGTATACTGAAAGATGACCTTGGTATTAACATGTCTTATCTTTTGCTTCTGTCTAAGACTGATAAATTGAGAGGACATCCGAAGAGTGTTCAAAAACCGAGATCAAATCGTTTACGTCTGGAGTTTCGTTTCTCACACGGAGTAGTGAATTACTGGAATTCTCTACCGAAACACGTAATATCAACACCTCTTAATATATTCAAAACGAGATTGAACCTCCTCAATATCACAAACTGCAAGAATTAATATAGGTCGATAGATCTCCTATCCTTATTGCTGAAGACTGACATGGATAAAAATCCTTTGTAATGACGCATGTGCATTCACTCTTTTCTCCTCACAGGTCCTAACTTACTTAATTCCTAAAAAATGGGTTTCACTAGTTCGTGTTTTTAATCGTTTATTTGATAACACATCTTTTCAGCTACCGTGAGTACTGTTACTGCCTCTATTGTTCTGGGATTTGCCCTGACGATTTTATCTATCTGTATTAATGAGGAGAGGCAACTTCAACCAATGTACGACGTTGCATATATGTAAATAGCCATTATTGAAAACGTTGATAGTGTTGCAATATAAGCACTGCTATATACAATGCAGCACGCCACTATTTTGACTGAGAATGCCTCTTTTAACTTCTTCGTCCATGGGTTAATTGTAATGAAAACATACAAGTTCTGAGTGTTTTGTACGGTTTTCTTTTCTTGTTTACTTTGTAATGACCTACTTTTATTAAGAGAATGCGATTGGTGTCATGGAAACAATTATTATAACCACTTGTACCAGGGATCGTTTTTCCATAGTTGTTTGTTTAACTGTACCAAAACACATACACTTTTCTGTCGGTTGTGACCTTGCGCAAGTTCGGTTAGGCTCAGTAGCTACTGCTTTGGTACGATCTCGGTATTCTTTCGATACCACGAGATCGCCAACAAATACATCTCGACTACAGCCATCAACTGCCTTCTGATATTTGGCTTACGGGGGGTCTAATCGGCTAACTGGCACGTAGTCTTCCTGTAGTGGTGATCATAGTCAACCGCGACTCGACGTCACACAACAACTTATTTCAGGGAGGGTTTCAATTTCATCTTAGAGTATGGGAGGAAAAAAGCACAGAAATTTTCGAAGGCCAAAATACGAAATCATGCGGTAAGATATTTTCACAGTCTGTTCATTCGTTCTTGCAGACATTCAAGACATGAATTCAATTTCTCCGTTGTTATATGGTTACCTCTTTTACCACTTTTGATTATTTGTATCGGAGATTACTTCAGAAAGAAGACATCATCGAAAAAAGATGTGTGCTGGGAAAGCCTGAATAATAACGTATCAGTTTCAAGAGAGGCAGTGGATTGGGTCTCAGCTGAGATTTCTCATCTTCGTAGATTATTTGACCTCATGTGAGTAGAAATATCACTTTTTTATATTATACTAATCAAATTTGGATTTGTTTAAGAATTTCTGGTATTTTGAATGCCGCTCAAAAAACTCATTCACGATGGAGTGAGTAAAAAAGTGGTCTTCGTTATCAACTGGATAAAGCTGTTGCGCAAAATAAGTTTAATTTTGGGTATTTAGTCTTCCAGTATGTAGTTTGTTTAGGGAAGAGTAGCTAATAAAGTATTTACTTACATCTTTACTCTATAATTCATCATTTGATATTTATTAGTTAATCATCCAAGCCTGCGTCAATAATGTATCATCATGGTACCTGTTAGTTTAATTAACTATTCTTTTCGGGATATCCAGTAAAATTATCTTTACTGGGAATGTTTTTAAGCTTTGTGTGGATGTGTCAAGGTGTTGATTCCTAAACTGTCGGACGTTGTACATATATTAGAAATTGCCAAGACAATCCATTGTAGGGCCAGTGAAATGTCACTGAGCCCTAGCCAGATCATCTACGTTGGTGATCAACACTGGTGAGCCCAACGTGATACGAACACGCAATAAATCTATATTAATTATTAACCACTACTTCCAATGTAACTAATCTGATTTTGTAATTGAATTCCTGCTTTGGAGACTGATTGGTTGTTTAAAAAAAGAAAATCATAGTTTGATTGATAACAAAAAGAAAGTATTGAACGATGTATTCATAGTACGAACGGACATTAGTAATGAGTACACTTCCGGTTATTTAATTTCTTACTTATGTATTGTTAGTTATCCGTACTATTCTATTGAACGATGTAGTTCAGGAAAATATACATCAAAAAAAAACAACTAACATCACCATAACAACACTTACACAAAATCCAGCTTTTATCAGATAATACTAAGGAACTTTTAACTTTTCTGTTTCAGTGAAAGTACTTCAATCAGAACAAACAAGAAGGATCAGATAACAAGTAGGTTTTGTTGTTCGTTATTCAATAATAGTTGTAATAATAAGAATGATAGTGGCTTTATTCATTACTGTGTTCAGTAGAATATTGGACTTTTATGATAAACTATCTCCACAAGTTCCTCTTACTCTCCTAAAGATGCGAAATATATCTGCATACGTGTATAAGTGAAATAGGTACAGCAATTATCTCTGCGTTGATCTCTTGTTACTGAACGCCTTCTAGTTCTTTTTTAAACAATGCTTTAAAGTAAATCACTTTAAGTTGAAACAAGTAAATTTTCGAATGATTTATAGTTTGTAGTTTAAATGTTTGAGAAATAGGCAGTGAAATACTGAGATTTGAACATTTCTAATCTGGATTATACATTGTCTAATAAAATATGTAATTTTTATTCATCTCACATGATGGCAAATATATTGTGTCATGTTAAACATACTTGTAAATTTACACACTTCGATCAGATGGATGACAAAATGGCGTGAAAGATAACGAAGACATCTTAACACATTTTATTGTAATGAAATCCAAGATATCAATCAGTTAGGTGATTCACTCATTCAATCTACGTAAACGAATGAAAGTACTTCCACTGTGTTCGGAAGAATAAGTAAATATTTAACCGCAGTTCGCAGTCTTTTTTGATTGGTCGAATACCGGTAATTGGTGAGTTATTCACTGTCCTTTACATCAATTTCAAACATTTGTCACAGATGATACCTCCGTTTATTTTGATTTGAGTATAAATTTAGTTGGTTCAGTGGTGAATATCAATCTTGTGAGTTGATAGAGATTTGTGGTAGATACAACAAGAGCCACTGAACTTCGGATGTATCTTTTTCACTACACGGTATCATGATTAACGTATAATATTCTGCTTATTAGTGTTTACATATTCTTATAACCTCAGCGTTTTTTTTTAAAAAGTGAAAGTAATTGCCTCCTACTTATGACAACAATGCTGTTAAATTACTTGCGATACTTCATTAGATTACGAGTTCGCCGAACCTGCTAACCTGTCTCACTGACTGGAAAGAGAGTCCAGGTTCAGAAGAGGGAAAAATGTTTTCCACAAGCACAAACAACAAGTACAGCTCAAGTGAATATATACCGCATAAAGATGTCTTTGAGAAACGTTACAAAATAGCATGTTAAAAGAGACAACGAGCCAATAAAACTTAAGATTCTCCCAGATAGGAAATACGATATGAATGTGTAAATGGACGCTTTGGCGCGACAACAATAAATTCAAATTTTCAAAATGAAATCACAAAAACAAGACATTTACTGGATCAGTTCTGGATATCTAGCCTCATCAACATTACTAGATATTGTCAAGTATGTTTTGGTTTGGAGCACAATTCGATTCCTTAACTAAGCAAAAGACATACGGATGAAAGAGATGATCAGGTAAACAGATGGAAAATAAATTCAAATTTATTCATGAGATCAAAGATATCATCTCCATGCACTTTTATGTACAGAATGACGTTAGATTGCAAATGAGTTAAAGTTTATTAACTAAGGGAGACGAATGTCAAAATAAATTATACCGTAATGTCAAATCTATCCAGGCGTCTAGCCACGTAATCGAAGTTCGAGTTGAAAATAAGGACTTATCCAAAAATGATTCTATCAATAAAAAATATATAAACTGGTTACAAATCTCAACTTATGAGGCTTTTGTATCGATCAAAGCATCTATATGAACGGAAAGGAAACAAACTTTCAGAAATGTTTGACTAATGTCTTATTTACCTGCTTACTTATGCCAGTTACTCGTAGTGCAGCATAGGCTATCAAGCAGCATTCTCCAACCCACTCTGGGCCTTCCTTTTTAGTTCTTTGCAATAGTCGTTCATTCTTCTCTATTTCCCAGCGTGATGTGTTGTTTTGTTTTCCTTTCCTCCTTTGGCCTTGAGGATTCCAAGTAAGTGCTTGCATTTTCACGCATTTGGATGCTTTGCTTAATGTGTGTACTATCTACTTCCAGTAATTCTTTCTGATTTACTCCTCAGCTGGAATTTAGCTTGTTCTCTCCCACAGTAGGTTGTTGCTGATAGTGTCTGGCCAACGAGTTCAAAGTAGTTTGCTCAGACAGCTGTTAATAAAGACTTGTATCTTCTGAGTGATGGCTTTCGTAGTTCTCCAGGTTTCCACTCCATATAGCAGAACTATCTTCACATTCCTATTGATAATTCTGAAGTCGATTTTGGTTGAAAATTGTTTTGAGATCTTGATGTTCTTCAATTTTAGATATGCTTTTCTTGCTTTGCTGATCCGTACCTTCACATCTGCATAAGATCTACCTTGTTCATCAATGATGCTGCCCAGATCTGCAAAGGTTTCTACATCCTTGAAAACTTCGCCGTCAAGTGATTTGATTGGTGCGTGTTGTTTTGCATCAGAGAGTCTTGTTTTTTCTTCGTGTATGTTGAGACCTATTGCTGCTGGCACTGCTGCTACACTGGTCAGATCATCTGCGAAGTCCAAGTCGTCCAGCCGCATCCCATCTGTGCACTGTATCTGGTACTTCCCCCCAAATGTTGACGTTTTCATAATCCAGAAGAAAGAGGAAGGGTTTTTGAGTAAGCAACCTTGCCTGACACCGGTTTTTAACTCGAACGAGTCTGCGAGCTATCCTCCATGCACGATTTAGCAGTTTAATCCATCATAATAATTCCATGTGATGTTGAATATCTTCTCGGGCACGCCGTAGTGTCGAAGACGCCTTCGTATTGTTTCCCAGTCCACTCTATCATATGCTTTCTCGTAGTCAATGAAGTTGATGTAGAGTGATGAAATAAATTCAGTTGATTGTTCCACGATGATCCTTAATGTTGCGATTAGGCCGGTGCATGACCGATTCTTACGGACATTATCCTGTTGGTCTAGATGTTGGGCGTCTACAGGGTCCTTCATTCTGTTGATGACTTTTGCTGGTATTGAGAGAAGAGCGATGCCTCTGTAGTTCTCACGCTTGCTTGTTCTTCATTCCAAATCTCGCTGAGGAGAGTGTGGAGTATCTTTGCAGTTACTGCTACCTCTGCCTTCAGTGCCTCTGCTGGAATGTTGGCTGGTCCTGCTGCTTTGCCGCTCTTGATTTGTCTGATGGTTATGCTGATCTCATTAAGTGATGATGGGTCAATATTGATTGTGAGGTCTGTGGGCGCTACTTCCGTGTTGGGTTGGTTCAGTGGGGCTGGTGGATTCAAGAGTTCTTTGAATTGTTCTGCCCACCTGTCTCGTTGTTGGTGATTACCTTGCCTTCCTTGCTTTTCACTGGTTGTTCTG